CCGAGTGGAGACCAGGGCTCCCTACAGCCAGCCCATCTTGCGGACGGTAACCCCGTTCACTCCGAGGGTAATGTCGGTTCCGCTGCCGGCAAACTTTCGGCCGTGGCAGATCAAGGCCTACAACGGAACGACGGACCCCCAAGATCATTTGTCTAAGTTCTATGCTTCTATGGAAGCGGCGGCAGGACACCATTGACGATTGGGATACGCTAGCGGAGAAGTTCTTGACGCATTTCGCAGCCAACCGAAGGCAGAGGCTACCTTACTCCCACCTGCTCAACATCTGCATCCGCAAAGGAGAGAAGATCCGCGACTTCATAACCCGGTGGGAGAAGGAAGCCAGAGACGTGCACGGGGCGGATGACCAAGCGTTGGTGGCCATGTTCCAAGCAGCCCTTCCCCGCGGTGAGGTGAGGAAGGAGCTCCGCGAGAATCCTCCCCCACGTACCAAGAAACCCTGGCGCGCGCTAAGTTCTTGGCCTCGGAGGAATTCGATGATGCCCCTGACTCCGAGGCCGCGCCGACCAAGCGAGCTCCCGTAGATTCAGAGGAGATAGCGAAGAAGAGGAAGAAGAAGAAAGACTACACTGTGGGCCCGAGGATGCCCTCGGCGGGTGTGTACTCCGTGGGTGCGCCCGTGGGGACGGGTCGAGAGCTGGCCCTCTCCCCGCTCCCACACGTAGAGACCTATGCGGTGTCCAGCGGCGCCAAGTACTGCGAGTATCACCGCAACAACACTCACAACACTAAGGAATGCTTCACTCTTCAGAAGGAGATGCAGCGACTCATCGCCCGAGGGTCGGCTCCGCGAGACGATGGAGCAGCCCCTTCCCGGGGTCCACCAGAAGGGAGAACATGGAGGAAGCCGACCGAGCCGGTCGCGGTGGCCACGCAAGCGAGGAACCTCGAGAAGAGGCACATTGGGCGAGAATGTGATGATCTAGACGAGGACGAAGCCCAAGGATATCCGGTGGGGTTCATCCATGGAGGAAATATCGGTGGGGATTCCGCCACTCAAAGGAAGAGGTGGAAGCATATGGCCTTCGTCGCCAAGGTCCAACAGGCGCCGACGCCCAAGCTCGGAAGACGAGAGCAAATCCAATTCACGGAGAAGGATCTTCCGAACACGCCGAGCCCCCATCGGGATGCCTTAGTCGTGAGGATAGAGATCAACAACGCCATAGTGCACCGCACCTTGGTGGACACGGGAAGCTCGGTCAACATAATGTATGAGAAGACCTTCCAAGACCTCGGCTTGGACCGCAAGGACTTAAGGCCTGTGTGCACTCCACTCTCCGGGTTCACGGGCGACTCCATCGAGGCCGAAGGAGTCATCGCCGTGCCCGTGATAGTAGGGGATGGTGCGCACAAGGCCAAGCTGAAGATGGAGTTCATGGTTGTAAGCATCAACTGCGCGCACAACATGATCCTAGGACGGCCCGACCTTGAGGACTTGGAATGTGTGATCTCCCCATACTACTTGTGCATGAAGTTTCCCACTCCTTCGGGAATCGGGGTGGCGAGGGGAGACCAAAAGTTAGCTTGATCGTGCTACGTCCGTATCACGAAGAAATTGCCAAGGGATGAGACGTTGGTCGTGCACGCACAGGAGGAAATGCGGAAGCTGGAAGCACGACCGAAGACCGAGCCCGCCGAGGAGGTCGAAGAAGTGCCGCTCGACCCTCAGACACCCGAGCGGAGGGTGAAGGTCGGGGCGAGCCTAACTGGGAGCCAGCGGAAGCGCTTGGTGGGCGTGCTCTCCGCCTACCGCGTGATCTTTGCATGGGGACCCGGGGATATGCCGGGGGTAGACCCCAAGGTCATATGTCACCGCTTGGCAGTCAACCCGGAGGCTAAGCCGGTGAAGCAGAAGAAGCGGTTCCTCTCATCCGAGCGGAGGGAGTTTGTCTCCAAGGAGGTGGCCACCCTCTAGAGCATTGGGCATATCAGAGAGGTTAAGTACCCGGAGTGGATGGCCAACGTGGTGCTGGCACCCAAGGGAAACATTTGGAGGATGTGTGTGGACTACACCGATCTAAACAAGGCCTGCCCTATGAATCCGTTCCCACTCCCGAACATCGACCAGCTGGTGGACGAAACGGCGGGCTGCGAGCTCATGAGTTTCATGGACGCCTTCAGCGGGTACCACCAAATCCAGATGCACCCTGAGGACGAAGAGAAGACATCTTTCACTACCCCCGGCGGATATTGTTATAAGGTGATGCCTTTCGGGCTCAAGAATGCCGGGACGACTTACGCTAGGATGGTGAGCAAGCTCTTTGCACCCGTCCTCGGGAAGAGCATGGAAGCGTACGTCGACGACATGATTGTGAAGAGCAAGCAGGCGACCACCCATGCGGAAGACTTAGAAGGGGTTTTCAAGATTATGGAGGAGTATAACCTTCGGTTGAACCCGAAGAAGTGCACGTTTGGAGCTCAGGGTGGCAAATTCTTGGGACATATGGTGAGCAGGCGCGGTATTGAGCCCAACCCCGAGAAGGTGCGCGCCATCCTTGACATGGAAGCTCCACGAAATGTCAAGGAGGTGCAGCGCTTGACCGGAAAGTTGGCTGCGCTCAGCCGCTTCCTTTCCAAGGTGGCGGACCGAGCCGCTCCGTTCTTCCAAGCGGTGAAGAAGTCCCGAGGGTTCGTGTGGACGGAAGAATGCCAACAATCCTTTGAATCCCTCAAGTCCTACCTCCTCTCTCCTCCGGTTCTCGCGAAGCCCGAAGTGGGGGAGACGTTGTACTTATACTTGGGAGTTTCACCCAGAGCTTTGAGCTCGGTCCTAGTCCGAGACGAAGGTGGAGCTCAACACCCGGTGTATTATACAGCGAAGACGCTGAGGGGTGCCGAGCTCAGATACTCAGTAGCCAAAAAGACGGTCCTCGCCGTGGTTTCAACCGTGCAGCATCTAACACCCTACTTCCAAGCTCACCCGGTTCAAGTGCTCTCCCAACAGCCCATTGGTGCGCTGCTCAGGAGCCCGAACGCGCCCTCGTGCATGTCCAAGTGGGCGGTGTTCCTTGGAGCTTTCCAGATCGAATTCAAGCCAAGGTCGGCGATCAAGGGCCAAGCGCTAGCTGACTTCATGGTAGAGTGCACCGCTTGGGAGGAGCCGAGCCCGGAAGAGCCGGAAGCCGATGACTGGTGGATAGTTTTTACCGACGGCTCCTCCGCCGCCAAAAACTCGGGGGGTGGAGTGGTAGTCATCGCTCCCGAAGGCTTCAGAGCATACTACTCAATTCGATTTGGTTTCAAGGCATCAAACAATGAAGTGGAATATGAAGCGCTCCTGTCGAAGCTGAGCTCGGACACGCCCGAGCATATCAGGCGAATGGCGAACGTGGAAGAGTTGTCCGAGCCGAGCATCCATGCCTCCACTGTGGCAATGATTTGTCGCTTGTCCAAGAGATTGGATGGACGATATAGTCGCCTTCCGCCCTCCCGGATGATGAAAAAAAGGCCAAGCTAGTCCGGACTAGGGCACCCGGATACACTTTGGAGGGCGGAAACTATACAAGCGAGCGTATATCTTTTTGGTTGAACTCAATGGAATGAAGTTTTTGCGAAAAGAGCTCGCTTGAACACTCGTGCTCGGCGTTCCTCCTCAGGAGGAAGGTCGAGCGCAGACCATACCCGGATGTTCTTCCCGGACGAAGGTCAAACACTCGTGCTCGGCGCTCCTCCTTAGGAGGACGGTCGAGCGCAGACCATACCCGGATGTTCTTCCCGGACGAAGGTCAAACACTCGTGCTCGGCGCTCCTCTTCAAGAGGAAGGCCGAGCGCAGACCATACCCGGATGTTCTTCCCGGATGAAGGTCAGACACTCGCGTTTGGCACTCCTCCTCGGGAGGAAGGCCGAGCGCAGACCATACCCGGATGTTCTTCCCAGATGAAGGTCAGACACTCGTGCTCGGCGCTCCTCCTCAGGAGGAAGGTCGAGCGCAGACCATACCCAGATGTTCTTCCCGGACGAAGGTCAAACACTCGTGCTCGGCCTTCCTCTTCAAGAGGAAGGCCGAGCACAGACCATACCCGGATATTCTTCCCGGATGAAGGTCAGACACTCGCGCTTGGCACTCCTTCTCGGGAGGAAGGCCGAGGGCAGACCATACCCGGATGTTCTTCCCGGATGGAGGTCAAACACTCGCGCTCGGCGCTCCTCTTTGGGGAGGGAAGTCAAGCGCAGGCCATACCCGGATGTTCTTCCCGGATGAAGGTCAAACATTCGCGCTCGATGCTCCTCCCTGAGAGGGAAGCCGAGTGCAGACCATACCCGGATGTTCTTCCCGGATGAAGGTCAGACACTCGCGTTTGGCACTCCTCCTCGGGAAGAAGGCCGAGCGCAGACCATACCCGGATGTTCTTCCCGGATGAAGGTCAATCACTTGTGCTCAGTGCTCCTCCTCAGGAGGAAGGCCGAGCGCAGACCATACCCGGATGTTCTTCCCGGACGAAGGTCAAACACTCGTGCTCGGCGCTCCTC